ACAAGTGGTCTAAGTAAAAAAATTTCTAACCACAAGTGTCTAAGTAAAAGTTTGAAATCACGAGGAGTTAAATGATAAATTATTTAAGCACAAAAAGTCTAAGTAATAAGTTTAAAATAACATGAGGTCAAATTATAAATCACAAAAGCACAATAGATATGAAAATGAAGTTTTCCTAGACAAAAAAGATATGAGCCTACGTGTTAAAAAAAAACCAGTGCGAAAATAGAAGAGTCAGTGGAACCCACATGGTGCGAAAATCAGAGTCAGCAGAAAGAGAAGTTGATTGCCCATTAATTCAAGCACTAACACAAGACATTACCAAAAGATTGGAAAAAATAAAAATAAAAAAACGTCGACAGCAGGGTTCGAACCTGCGCGGGCGAAGCCCAACAGATTTCAAGTCTGTCTCCTTAACCACTCGGACATATCGACTTCTTAGCAGAGTTTCTCTGAGGTTGAATTATGTAGTATTTATTATGATTTCTGATTTTTTTCCGTGGTACTTTTTAAATCTTACTTCAAGATTAGGAATTGCATTGAGATTATCAAAACAGGGATAAATTGTCAAATACAAAGACATACTGTGTGTTTGGTAAAAGGGAAAGTTTTAAATTTTTGGGAAAGTTATATTGGCAATCTTATATTTCCATGTTTAGTACAAAGGAAGAGGACAAATTTTCCTGAAAATCTTCTTTAAAATGTGAACAAAAATGAAGCAAAATCCCAACGTCACACCCCATAGATGGTATTCTACAAATCTCATACTGTTGGAAAATGCACTAAATTTTTGGGGACAAAAATACCCTGGCTTTCTTTGTTCCAAATTGCTCTCGTCGTCTCTTTTTTTGGAACTTCATTAGCAGATCCATACTAGGAAATATAATTTTTATTTTATTTTTATCAGTATAATAATATGGGTCAGAGTGAACCGTGTCCCAACAAGAACCATAACAGATGTAGCAGAAGCAAAGGCCAAGAAATTGAAAAAAGTGAACAGGGTAAGCAGAACATAATGATATCCTTGTGATCTTTCCAAAGGGTAGGTGAATATTGTTGAGAACAAAAACAATGGAAACGCCAAAGTAGCCATTGAAGTTGAAAATCTTCGCAAGATTTTCTTACGCCTGTTTCGATGAGTGTTGATGAGAGAGAGAGAGGGAGAAAGAAATGATTTATGAATAATTTTTATTCACAAAAGTTATTTTTGTAAAATTATTCCACCTTCCCAGCAATATTTTACAATTAAACATATGTAAAATTTATAATTTTGTCAAAGATGATACTAGGAAAAATTTACACATATATTTTCATCCCATCTACTCAATTCAATCAACCAAACGCATTCATATTTAATGGATTCTATAATCATATACGTGAGGCTTTGATACCAAATAAAAGATTTATTTACCCTGAAATCATGTATAAGATTATAAAATATCTAAATAATATGAAATTAAATTGGGATTGTGCGTACCTTATTGGATCTTCCTCTCTATCACCTATTTCGATAAAGGCAGCCTCAGTGATGGGAGCATGATACTCTAATATAAATAGGCTAGAGAAGGATCTAGCTAATAATCCAAAGAAGAGTCTGTGTCCACTGGGTCCACCCATCATGGAAAATCAGGGTCACATTAAAGCCTACACTGCTACCCAACTAAGCCTAATAACAACAGATGTCAGAAGCTCAATTCAATGTGATTACAATGAGCTAGTTACAATGATAATATTAAAATATTCGTTAACCCGATTAATTTTAAATACAAAACTAATTAATTAATATTGCTCATAAAATAAAATTTCTAACAACCTAACATTAGAAAAATTAACCTAACACTCATGGAAATATTTTGACCTACCAAACAACTTTTTTGTAACATTTTCAGAAAACTCATTTTCCCGCCATATTTCTGGGAATAGTGATTCTCAGCTAAAAAAGGTTTCTCTTCTACCAAACATCCAATAAAAAATACAAGAATCCTATTTTTTAAAAATTTTAATTAAATTTTTGAATGTTTCAATTTATTTTTAGAAAAATCTTGTGTTCTCATGCAGGAACAAAAAATTATTCCTCCAAAAATATATTGTACTATTAAATTGGTGACAGGAACCAGATAGTGAGATCTCCAAAAAAATGAATGGTGATGAATCTGACGATCTTCCTTGAAGGTTCCTTCAAGAGGAAATGATTACGCAGTTTTAATTTTTTTATGTTCAAACAGAAACAAATTAGTATCTAATGATTTAATTGAAAGAATTAAAATAGATGGTTCAAAATAAAATAATATTATGAGATTAATGTTTCTCATGTTGTAGGAGATAATTTTATCTCATACACACAGATAAAGGTGTACGAGGCCCGTATAGGACAATGTGAGGAGAAGAGGGAGAAAAAGAAAATATGCCTCTCACACACTTTTGTGAGTGTGTAAAAGATAAAATTTATTTCATACAACATAAGAAATATTTTTTCCTAATATTATAGACTCAAAGATGCATAAATGGATATCGGAGAGAATTTAGAGCTGTCAAAATCCATTCCTATTAGGCCCTAGTCCATATGGGTTAGGGCAAAAAAACTCGTAAAGCGAAATGAACCTCAATAATAAAGTATCGCACGGGCCAACATAGCCCGCTGGCTATCCAAAATTATAATTTCATAATTTTTTATCATATTCAATACATTAAAAAATATTTTAACAAATAAGTATTTAACATTTTCTTAACATATTTTATACAAATTATAAAAAGAAATTAATTTAATTTTTATAGTAAAACAATATTTGTACATAAATATAAAAGTGAAAATGTAAACTAAATTTTAATAGAAGTGAACATTTAGTTACTACCTTTACTAAAATCATTATTAAAGGATGTTATCAAATAAAGATTTCCTCACCAAGAGTCATAACAAAATACAACAACTCTAGTGGAAAATTGGTCCTAATACCAGTATTAAATAATTGTTGTTAGTATGCTATATATTTCTAAGTAAAACTATTGATTTTCTTTAAATACTACTATTACAAAAAAACTTTTAGTTATTAGTATCCACAAAATTACTAAGGTGCATTGTATACAATATGTTTCAATATAAATTTGTATATATAACATGTTTATATGTCAATAGAAAATTTCATTTTTATTAATGCACATATGAAATTCTCTGTTGAAATATATTACTGCTGAAAAATTTATTTTTATTGTAAAATATTATAGATGACCTTTCACACGGTTCATAACAAATGACTCTTCATTTTTCATTTTTTATGACATTTGATATATTCTATAATCATCTCGATAATGAAGTGTTGAATTGTAAAATACAACCAAGGGGGAGAGTTCTAAAAGATTATGGATGATCTTTCACATGTATTATGGATAATCTTTCATATGGTTCATAACATATGACTCTTTTTTGTTCATGACCTTTGATGTATACTATAACCATCACAATAATGATGTGTTAAATTGTAGAATACATGCAAGATGAAGTGTTGTAAAATATTATGGATGACATTTTACATAGTTCATACTTCATAATATGTGACTCTTTGTTTTTTTCATAACCTTTCTACAACCATCACACTAATGGTGTGTTAAATTGTAATTATTCCTTTAATTATGTTTAGAATCATAAATAAGGACATATCTTAGATGAAAAAAATAGTACTTGGTGAATTCAGAATATAATAATATTTTCTTACATTTAAAAGCTCATACTTGTTCTTATCTTATTCTTTCTTTGATTTTCTTTCTACACTTCATCTTCCTTTCTTTCATATTTCACTTTCTCTTGTATTCTCCATTAAATTCACAACAAATCTTACTTATATTATGTTAATAATTTATTTTATATTTATAAATATTTAAATTTATATAATTTTTTGTTTTTTAAATAATAAAAATTAATGAAGGAAAAAGTTTGACCCGTGGGCAATCTCTAACCCTGCCCGCTAATTAATTACAAGACTTTAAGAGTTAGGATTAAAAAAATCCCTAAGACAAAAAGGCCATAATGAATTAGGGCCAAATATAAGAATTTGCGAGTTGGTTCGCAGACTTTAGCCCATTTTAACAACTTTAGGAGAGATCCTTAAACCTCATGCACCCACCAGAACAAAAGAGACAAATAGATATTGGAAAATCTCAAACTCCTATTCATTTGTACTTTTCCTTAACACACAAGTACGGAAGAGTTAAACGCATTGAAGTTACTCTATTATATTAAAATTCATTGGGCTAATTTATATGTTTAGATATAAAAGTAAAAACGAACTTTGATTTATATTTTGAAATATAAAAGCATAAGGCGGCGTTTGGTTCAGGAAATTTTTTTGGAATAGTAGGAAAATGAGATAGATAGAGAAATAATTAGAAAGATAGATAAGGTGAGATAGGTAGAAAAATGTAAAAAAAAGTTGTTTGGTGAGGAAAAACTTTACTGGAAAAATTAGGTAACTTTATGAAATCAACAGTGCATTAAAAGCCAGATAACCGGTTTTCCGAAAAATTCCACCTTCAAATTGGGTTTCTAAACAGTGCGGATATCTATGTTTCTCATAAATCCAGACAAATTGGATAGATGGGTTTTTGGTGAAAAACGTTGAAACAAACATGGTATTTCTAAAAGCCATACTTGAGAAAGATAGATGTCCGCTGAAAAGCTCCCAACCAAACACCACCTAAAAGGAATCTATATTTAACCGTCTCTAAGGACAATTCTATCTTTTCTTATGCTGTTTTTCTTTCTTTTTTATTTCCTTTTTTTTTTTAACTGTGGGGAGGACACAAGTATGAACTATAAACTATTTCAGACACAAGTATGAACTATAAGCTATTTCAGACACAAGACCAACATCTAAAAGGATAAAGGGAACGGGAAAAGGGAATCCCATAATGCTAAATGAACTTCAAAGGAACCTCTTTGAAGAATCTTCTTAATTTGTTGTAATGCTTCTTCACAATTTTCATAAATCCAGGGAAGTCTCAACTCTCTAATTCCCCGCAAATTTAGCATGAATCCTATGTTGGATTGGGGTCCTACATGAAGGGCAGTCCTCCATTCCTTGTTTCTCATGGAGCTCATTGCATTCTGAACACACAACCTGATGTGCACAAGGTAGAAAAACAACTGATATCTCCTCTGCTAAGCACATGACACACTCCTGCTCCCGCCTCAAACTTCCAGTTGCCAACACCATTGTTTGAGACGCATTGGATTTCCAATTTCCCTTCGCGGTTGGAGTGTTTCTTGAGAAACTATCATTTCCTTCATCAATACACCAACGAAATGCTGCTATTTTTTCAGACTCAGAATTTAGTTTTAATTCACCCAACTCTTCCTCTAGCTTAGCAATATCTTCCACATATTTTTGGAGATCATTTGCTTCCTTCTTTCTAATCATATCCTCCTCAGATTTTGTGCGTGCTTCAAGTTGTTCTCTTTCCTTTCTAAAGGATGCAGCCTGTGCTAGTATCTTTTCTTTTGCAACTATCTCTTGTTCTAATCTACCCTGTAACATTCCACCAATTATAGTATGGGAGTAACTTAATAAGTTGTTTGAGTACCAATTGTAAACAATAGGGCCACAGGTAGAACATAAATCCTATTATTTAAAATTTGTAATAAATAAATGCAAAAATAAAATATCATTAGTAGAAAGATTTGCATGAGAATTTATTGATAGGGCCTCGTTCCTATACTTCAATCGGATTATAATAATAAATTATGTATATGCCATAATCTGTCCTTTGAACATATCTAAAGGAATACAAAGCCCTGGTTGAAGTCATTTTAATTGGTTGAGAAGTAATAAGATGAGAGTATCATTTTAAGGTAATTTATGATTTGTACTTTTCAATTGAAGACTAAAGGAACATCCTTAAGATAGCATGACTTAGCATCTCTCCCATGTTGCCAGTACATGGCTATAAATGTCAAGCATCTATGTATAAATAATTTTTTTTGTTTATTTTGTAAGTATTTGGAGGTCAAAGTATCCATGTCTGTTCAAGGTGCTTAAGCATGACAATATGGGTGCATTAGTTTAGAGTCAGACTGTAAGAGAAATAGAGATCATCACAAAGCAAGGAAAGTCAAGATAGATGTTAACAATATATAAAAGTAAACTACACATTTTACTCTAACGTATGTTGATATTATTCGTTTATAAGTAGTTTCTGATTCAATGTCACATACCTGAACCTTGGCTTGAAGATTTTTCTCCTTATCTAGCTCATGTTGCAAGTTAGGTAATTTGTGCTTCTCTTTTTCAAGCTCATCTTGAAATAAACCCTTTTGGCTTTCCCATGACCGGGCTTGTTTAAAATTCATATGCTCTCTTTCCAGTGCTTGTTGATGGCTTGTCATTGACTTTACAACCCACAACTTTGCCGCATCCAACTCCTTCTTTAGCAAAGAGTTTTCTTCCTGTAGCGTAAACGCTGCAGAAGTAGCATTCTCAATTTGCCTTTTAGTATTTTCCATGGCATTCTCCATCTCAGACATCCTCTTCACAGCATTTTCCTCCAAAACTTTCTTATCTGTTTTAAATAGCTCAGCTTCTTGCTTCTCATTTTTCAGAGTTCTAAACTCATCCTGCAGCTTGTTGATCCTATTGGTAACCTGTGCAATCTTCTTATCTACCCAGTTGTTCCACATTCGCGACTCATCCAGCACTTCTTGCAATCGATGAAGTAACTTTAAAGCTAGTTCATCCTTCTTATCTCGTGGGACATATGTATGCAAAGCCTGATCAAAAGGTATACCGACACAATAATCAAGAACCTTTTGAGTGTCACAAGAGCTTAGCTCAGATTTTGGTTTGGATGTAGTGCCTGGTGTTGAAATATTTGTATTCATTGTGGGGGAAGTAGATATTGCATCCCTTGTGGGTGATGTTCCATAGCTACCTCGTGCAGGTAAAGCAGATGCACCATTGGTTGAAACATGGCATGCTACATCTGTTGAACGAATCATTTTTGTGCTTGTCGTATTTGAGGAGCCGCATTTCATTTGTTGATTGGGAATTTCATATTGTGGCTTGAGTCTTTTTTCAACAACCGAACCATCAACGCTTGCAAGCTTCCCTGATTTGAAACCCCCTTTTCCACAAGCCCTGTAAGTTTTCTCCATGTGAAGGAACTTATGTCTAAGTGTTGTTATTTCTTTTTTATTATGCCTCTTAGAACTAGATCCTGATTTACATTCTTGGGAAGGAACTCCCGCAATTCCTAAGGATTTCCCTGCAGTGATTGGCAATGAAGCATTCTCTACCTGAAGCTTTACCCCTTCTGAAGCAAGAGGACTTTGATTGTTGGTTGAATTCAGGAAACTTCCAAACTTAGGTGCTTCAGACTTGTGATTCTGGTGATTGGGGGACGATTCCTTCTGGAAAGTTGATGAACTATGATTTGAAATAATATCAGAGCTTTGAACCTCTAACATTGATTGGGGAATGGAAGAACTGGTGGAGCTTTCCCCATTACAAGCAACATTATCCAGACAATCCTCCGCTGCACAGGCTAGTGAAATGTTCAAGTCACATATCAGCAAAACCCACATTGCATCACCATCTGTTAAGGAGGGTTTAACTTCACGAAGTACACTGATCATCTCCACCATGGTGTAATGTAGCAAGTGCTGAAAATTTTCAAATTCAATGTCCGTAGTGCCAATATATTTTTCTTTTCTGTTCAAAATATTCAGTGTATCATGTAGAATATTTGAGATAGGGTCTCCTTCCTCTGTGTATAGAGCCTTCCTTGAAATGGCCATTTCAGCCACATCTTGACTATAGCCAAGTTTAACAATATGCTTGATTACACCATCAAAAATTGCTTTCAGATTAGATAACAATAACTCCTCAAGCTGTCTTGCAATAGGATCATTCCAATCCACAATCTCATGCATATGCACTTCCAGTTTTTCTCTATGACAATCTGACTCGAACTCCGATGAATTAAATTCATTTGAGCTTTGCGAAATTGGTGATGCATACCGAGGGAACTCAACCAGAGATGAGGGCATTTTAATAGCAACTCTAGAAGGATGAGCTGATTTCCTCTTGTGCTTACGCCCTTTATCCTGCCTGTCCACACCATCAACAGTTGTATCCATCTCAGGAACAATGACACTGAAGCCCACAATAGATACCCATAAGTCAAAATAAAAAATAAAAGTGTAAATGAGGAATTAAAAAACTGATTGTGAGGTTGGAGGATCAAAGAAAATATGTACATAATAAAATTGGGAATGAAATTCATACAGAATTATCACCAACGCAAATAGAACCTTTAAATCAACATTGACATTTTTACCTATCAATTCTTTATATACAAATAGATAACCATAAGTCAACAAACAATGTAAATGAGAGATTAAGAAACTGATCGTGGGGTTGGGGGATCAAAGAAAATATGAACGCAAAAAAAATGGGGAAAGAATTAACATCACTGCAAATAGAACCATTAAATGAACATCAACATTTTTGCCTATCAATCCTCTATCTATAAACAGATACACATATGTAAAAAAAAACAGTGTAAACGAGGGATTAAGAAACTGATTGTGAGGTATTAGACTTATATTTGTCTATAAATTTACTTCTTTATTTTTTAAGTATTCCATTTTGTACAAAACCTGTGCTTGACCTGTGTGTGAGAAAGTGATTGAATGAATTGCGTTATTCAATTTTTCTTCATGTTTATGCACTCTACCTTCTAACATGAGGTTAGGGGGATCAAAGAAAATATGAACACAATATAATTGGGAACAAAATTCATACAGAATTAATACCAATACAAATAGAACCTTTAAATCAACATCAACATTTTTGCCTATCAATCCTCCTATCTACAAATACATACCCATAAGCCAAAAAAAAGGTATAAATGAGGGATTAAAAAACTGATTGTGAGGTTTGGGATGTCAAAGAAAAAATGAACACAACAAAATTGGGAAAAAAATGCATACAGCATAACACCAGTGCAAATAGAACTTCTAAATCAACATCAAAGAGTATTAAATTGAATAAAAAATTTCTTTTGGCATAAAAAAATTAATAAAAAAGATATTTCAATTACAAGAAGAGAATAAAAAGAAAGCCATACCTTGGCCCAGAATTTCAAAACTGGGTGCAGAATGAGGAATTAACTGTATGGAAAACTCAAAAATGATTAAAAGAACAATAAAAGAGAACTTGCTAGAATCGAAACTCCTTGAACAAAACAGTTCCTGAGCAAACCTTATATAGCCAAAACAGAGAGAGCAGGCATGGAAGCCAAGTGCACCCACAGACCAATAGAACAATGACAACTAATCTCAGAAGAAGAAAAAAGATAACTGATGCACGAAAAACCCAATGCCCAGCTTAAAATACTCATCCAAACAAACAAGATACAATTGGATTTCACCCATTAAAGACAAAAATCCATTAAAAAAGGCAAGCTTTAAATTTTGATTTACATAGGAATTAAATGTACCTAACACAAGCATTGTCTACATTCATCAGGAATGGAACGTTTCACAAAAGAAATTCAAGGTTATTATGTCCTTGGTTGGTAACAGGGTGTTGCGGATTCTCCTCTTGAAGGAGTTTACATTCACGTTCACACTTATCTTTTGTGTGTCTACTCTACACTCTGTTTGTTTGGGGTTTTGGGTTTTGCAATGAAAAATGAAACTGGTCCCTTTTTATACATAAGGGGTGATGTGGATATTGGTGTGGCGCTAACAACTTCCCTTGTGGTTCACCCCATTCAGGTTTTATACCCAACCTTGGTGCATATACCACTCACCTACCCCCCTAGGCTCTAACATACCATTTTCCACTCCCTAATTATTCTTGCACAATTTCATTATTACATATTTTTTAAAGCAATATCTTTTCTTTTCTTTTTTCGGGAATCTCAATTTTCAAAAATATGATTTTTACATTCAGTTTACAATAATATTCGAAAATTAAAAATTTAAAAAAATTCAGTTTACCGAAAATCCTGGAGAATGACGTGTACCAAATGCCCCCTAAGATATGGATTTAGGTCTTTAATGCTAACCTTAGATAGATGGATTAGGATCCTATCCCCTACTTGACTATATTTGGGAATTCAAGATGGATAGAATTTATGTTAAACTAGTACAGTGGAACCATGGTCATCCCTTGGAACATAACTCCAACTCGACCAAAATTTGTTTTTTTTTTTTCGAGGGTTATATTTACAAATTTTTTATTTATAAACTCTTACGAATTATATTTTATACTTTCAGAAATACATTAGTTTATACTATGTACTTTCGAGAATACATAGTGTAATTTACAAAAATTTGTGAAAAGATTCCTCCTTTTTTTTTTATCTAACCTGCAATTTGAGGAAGCTGGTAGCAGCTAGCATCACTATTCAAAAGGCATGTGTTTAATTCTGAGAGTAAAAAAGAAAGAATAATGTGACTAGTAAAACTAAAATAGTCAGTATATTTGGGAGCATTGGATTAGCACTAACATGTAACAATTTGCTAATTTAAGGAATATAGCAATGTTGTTAAAATCGAGATCTTAAGTAAAATCATGAGAGGATTAAAAAATCATAAAAACGTAAAAGCGTTTGGAATATTAGTAAAATCGTTTTGATAAAAAAAAATCGTAAAATCGTAGTGATAAATCAAGATTTTAACAACAATGGAATATAGTTTTAGAAGAATAAAACTATGGGTTTGATATTCATGATATTGTAGGAGATAAAATTATTTTTTACATACATATGTGTGAGGCCCATGTGAAGCTATGTAAAAAGAAGAGATAGAAAAAAATATAAACTCCACACGCTTTTATGTATGTATGAAATAATTTTATCTCCTACTATATAAGAAATATCAAACCCGTAATTTTATACTTCTACACGAAAGAGGAATAACACAATAAATTGCCTTCCAAAACTATACTCCATAAATTAGCAAATTGTTACAGGTTAGTGCTAATCCAATGCACCCAAAGATACTGACTATTTTAGTTTTACTAGTCATATTATTCTTTCTTTTTTACTCTCAGTCTCAGAATTAAACACATACCTTTTGAATAGGGATGCTAGCTGTTACCAGCTTCCTCAAATTGCAGGTTAGATAAAAAATAAAATAAAAATTAACATAAATTTTGGTCAAGGTGGGGAGTTATGTTCCAAGGGATGGCCATGGTATCCACTGTACTAGTTTAACATTAAACCCTAAAACTATATCAGTATTTTTACATGTGATTTTTCTTTTAATTAATGATTTCTGTTATTGCTTTAACTATGCCAATTAGGCCTACAACTTATATAGATATATCAGATTTAGGTTTTAATTCATCCTTATCTCTTTATATTCTTCTAATATGCTTTCTATTATTTTTTTAATTTAGTTGAGTGTATTCCTAAATTTATTATATATACATAGTATAAAATTAAATTGAGGTCGCCAATAAGAATTGACATATTTGATCAAACCTTCCACCCATGTTAATTGTAACCTTGTAAGGGAGTATGCTTTCCCCTAATTTAAACTTTTATTTTAAAAAAATGAATTGAGATGAATACATTTTGTTAAAAATTCTCAAAATAACCACACACAAAAAATCACGACTTTAAAATATATAGAAACACTATCTCAATTCATACGAGTTTTTAAATATCTTCCTCATATGTATTATAAAAATTAAAATGACTAACTCTACAAAAATAAAAGTAATGCGTGTATGAATTCGTGCAATAACGAAATTGGTAACTGACTATTAATTTTATCTGTAATGAAGTTCAATAGCAAAATAATACATATAATTTTAAGTCATAGTAAGAGGCTATGTGTAATAATAAATAAACTATGTAACCGCTTACCAAAAAAAAAAACTATGTAACCATAAAAGAATAGAAGTTTGAGAAAGCCTAATCTATTGCTCTGTTTTTCAATGGACGACTACGTGTAATAATAAATAAATTATGTAACCATAGAAGAATAGAAGTTTGAGAAAGCCCAACCAGTTGCTTTGTATTTCGATGGACGATTCTTATACTCAAAGGGAGAGAAAAGATTTAAAATAAGTAAATAAATACAATTATACAACAAACTTCTTAATATAAGATTCAATCAAACAAAATATAAATCACCAAATCTTAAAGGACTAGTTTAGAAGAGGAAAGAAATATGTGATATTCGTTTAGGTTTCAGATTTTAATTTTACCAACTCTAAAAGTAAGGCAATAAACAATTTGGTGCAATTCATGTGTTCTTGGATAATTGTTAGAGAATAATATAAATTATTAAAAAGGCTCTCACCCAACACTTTAAGGTTTTGAGTTTGAAGTGGTTCTTTACATGGTATCAAAGCTTTGAAGTATGAAGAACAACTGTCAATCGCGGATTACAAGTAATCGGCGGGAAGAGAATGAGGACGCTGATAGGGTTGCAATTGGTAAAGAGAGACTTGTCTTCAAAATTTTAAAAATAAAAAAAGCACAAAAGGTAAACCAAAAATTGGACCTGTGCAATATCCACGCTTCTAGTCCAAAGGGCTCTTGCGTTAGGGGATGTGTTAGAGAATAATATAAATCATTAAAAAAGCTCTCACCTAACACTTAAGATTTTGGATTTTGGGTTGAAGTGGTTATTTACAATAATATAAAAATATCAATTGGTGTAGTATAAAAAAAATACCTACAATAGAAAAAGAAAAAGAAATTGTTAATCCCTATCATAAATATACGGGTAAAGACACATCCAATAATTGTAATTAAATTATTTTAATTACCTAAATATGCAAATATTAAATGCTTTTTTGGATTCTTGAGAAATTAATTTTTTTTAACTTTGCATTTAATAAATTGTTTCTATTTTAATTTATTAATTAATGTGGTTAGAGCATTTACTATTAAATTCAAATAGTACATGATAATATCAATATGAGAAAAGACAATCAAATAATGTATTAGATAGACTAACTCGATACACGCCCAGTCATTATAACGAACTAAATGGATTAAGAACATACCCACTTGTTTGGATGCTTGCCATATCCAATAGGCCAAGCATCTGGCATCAGCCCAAGGCCTGAAGTTTAGCTGCTTTAGTAATTTTCACATTATTTCTAGAAT